CTGGTGTAGTATGATATTGACCATAGATCCAAAAACAGGGAGGTGAAAACTAAAAGCCACGCATGCACTTTAGAGCTCCCTCTGTCCCTGATTACTAAATACAAGCGTTTATGCCCCTTCGCTTCCAGCAACCAGCACAACCATCAGCAGGATCCAGCACGGGCCTTATAAAGTAATTAATCAAATGCCTGTCTAAACAGAAAAGTCTTTACTTGTCTGTGAAAAGAATAGGGAGGGTGCCAGTGTAAGCTCTCTGGAAAGGGTGTTTAAGAGACTGAGGGCAGCCACTGAGAAGGCCCTCTCCCATGTTCCCACTAGCTGTACTTGTGAGGGGGGTGGGGCAGAGGGAAAGGTATCCCCAGCAAATCTCAAAGCATGTGCTGGTTCAAAAGGGAGAATATGGTCCTTCAGATAACCTGAACCTGAGCCATATAGGTCAAAACTAGCACTTTGAACTGTGCACGGAAATCGACTGGCAGTCAGTGGTGCTGTTGCAACAAGGGAGTTGTATGTTCTCTGTAACCAGCTCCAGTTAGCAATCTGACTGCAGCTCTTTGGACCAATTGAAGTTTTAAGCATTCTTCAAAGGCAGTCCCATGCAGAGCATGTTACAGTAATCCAATTGGCCATGTGTCACTGTGGCCAGATCTGACATCTAAGGCATGTGTCACTGTGACGAGATCTGACATCTCAAGGAAGGGGCACAGCTAGCATGCAAACCTTAACTGTGCAAACGCTCTCCTAGCCTCCACTGAAACCTGAGCTTCCAAGTTCAGAGTTGAGTCCAAGAGCACACCCAAGCTGCTGACTTGCACCTTCAGGGGGAATGTAACCCCATCCAGCACAGGCTTAATCCCTATTCCTTGATCTGCCTTCCTAGAAGGATGCACCAATATGCTTGGTCATGGTAAGACAATTTAAAAAAAACCAATTCTGATTCACCACACTTTGGTAACTTTTGCACACTTCGTAACCTTCGCTTTTGGTGGGATGTTATCTCTGGAAAATAATTTTAGGGGTTGGTTTTCTGTGCAGCATTAACTTCTCACTCTCAATTTAAGGGAGGGGCGTTCCAGTGCTTCTGCAAAAGGAGATTATCAACGGATTGGCGATGTCATGCTGAAAAACATGCATACACTAAAGGTATGGAAATATGAATAACTCCCAAGAACCCGCATGCTCTTCCATTTTCAATCTTTCACTAATATACACTACGGTAATATATTTTTATCTGAAGTATTTTTATTTCCTTTTTTTAATGGTAAAGATTAGGTGTATCCTGTCTAGGCCACAAATGAATGCCAATTTATCTTTGTGGAAGTTCTGGCATAAATTTCTGTTAAGAGTCAAAGAATCCTACCAATTAACAAAACTGTCAAAAGTTTGCATCCAGAACAACAATGTTAATCTTGCAGTGTGACCAGAGTAACAGTGTAAATCTTCACAGTCTTATTTATGTGCCAGCCAGTAATCATCAATGCATCTCTTCAGTTTTCAAGTCAGAAAAAACAATCTGAGATTTGTTGTGTGCAAATCCTAATCATTGCTATATACATAATACATATTACATATACATGGTTGCAGGTTGACATATTTAAAAAACAAAAGCAAAGAAAGACTTTGATAGATCAACTCTCAAGTTACTTTTATTTTTCACCTGGCCTCCACCCACTTTATCCCTTCCTCCTAGCCCTCTCCCTAGTTTGTCTTTAAGGGCACTAAGATTGCTCTGTGGTTCTCTGCATATCAGATGGGGTATGGCTTTATAGACTATAGCAAAGCCTTTGACTACATAGCTCATGAAAGGCTATGGAACGCCCTTAAAGACATGGGAGTGCCAACACATCTGATAGTCCTAATGAGGAATCTGTACTCAGGATAAGAGGCAACTGTCAGAACAGATCACAGAGAAATAATGGTTCCCAATTGGCAAAGGCTGCATCCTATCACCCTACCTATTCAACCTATATGCACAACATACTGTAAGGAAAGCAGGCTTGGACATGGAAGAGGGTGGAGTGAAAATAGGAGGAAGAAATATCAACAATCTGAGATATGCTGATGACACCATAGTACTAGCAGAAAACTTCACAGACCTGGAACACCTACTAAGGAAAATCAAAGAAGAAAGTGCCAAGGCAGGCTTACTGTTGAACATAAAGAAAACAAAAATAATGATCACAGAGAACTTATACACATTCATACTAAACAATGAGGAAATAGAAATAGTAAAAGAGTTCCCATATCTGGGATCAAACATTGATCGGAATGGGGACTGCAGCCAGGAAATCAGGAGAAGATTAAGAATGGGGAGGGTAGCTGTGAAAGAACTAGAAAAGATCCTAAAATGCAAAGACATACAACTCATGACAAAAGTCAGAATCATACAAGCCATCATATTCCCTATTACCATGTATGAGAGCTGGACAGTCAAGAAAGAAGATGGAGGAAAATCAACTCATTTGAGATAATATGGTGCTGGAGAAGAGCACTGAGGATCCCATGGACAGTCAAAAGAACAAACAAATGGGTCCTAGAGCAGATCAAGCCAGAGATATCCCTAGAAGACTTAGACTGTCGTACTTTAGACACATCATGAGAAGACATGAATCGTTGAAAAAGACAATAATGTTAGGAA